TTTATCATATTGTTATTGTTTCTTGTTTCTCTGCCATGTTGCTGCATTGTGAAGTAAGTTTTAAAAATATCACAAATGTCATTATCAATGCATTTGTGCACCAGTTTGCATGCTCTTAATTTGTTGGCATTTACAGCAGATATAAGATGTTGTTCACCTGCCTGTTCCCCTTTGAACACAGTGGACACAGAACGGTCGTGGAATGATAGAAGTCTGGCCAGCTGCGTTCGACCTAGGTTTAATTGCAGTACGCCACAATACGTAAGTATGGGCATGATCATCGTGCGATAAATGGCTTTGGCCGAAGGTAAATCGAGAAGATCTCTTATCTTAAACAAGAGCTCAAACTCAGTGATCCGTCCACATGCACGCCAAGATACTTATAATCAGATGTATTCGTTATTGTAGTCCGCGTGGAGCATGGTACGGAGACCTCGAGTGGCTCAGTTTGCATGCTTCTTCGTTTGGCAGTTCCAAATAGAAGGGATTCCGTTTTGCCCTTCTTTAGGTTGATTATCAGTTCGTTTTCTTTCAACCAGCCAGCAATCGAATCCATGTCTTTATCTAATTTTGCTTGAATTGATTGGGTCTGCTTGTCTGCAACGTACAAAACAGTGTCGTCAGCATAGTTAATGACTTTGGAATGATTTACCACATCTGTTATATCATTGAAGAAAACCAAGAACAGCAATGGTCCCAATATCGATCCCTGCGGAACACCAGAATAGATTTCGTGTACCTCAGATAAGCAGTTATTGTAGCTTACTACCGCTTTACGGGAGAAAAGGTAGTCTTTAAACCATTCAAGCTCACCGTCATTTATTCCATATCGAGAAAGTTTATCTAGTAACTTTGCGTGGCTGATTGTGTCAAAAGCCTTACTCAAGTCAATAAATACGGCACCAACTAGTTTCCCCGAATCAACTTCTCTACGTATATCATCCAATAATAAGGTTGTTGCAAGCTCAGTCGAAAGGCCACGGCGGAAGCCAAACTGAAACTCAGACAAGAGAGAATTTTTGTCCAAAAATGACATTAGTTGACGGTGGACTATCTTTTCAATGATTTTAGACAGGACCGGTAGTATCGAAATTGGTCGATAGTTATCTAGGTTTGAATGTGCTCCAGACTTATATATTGGTATGATCTTGGCATTTTTCCAATCAGCTGGGAAAATGTTTGTTGCTAGTGAGAGGTTAACCAAGTGCGTCAAGGGAGCAGCTATCAACTCAGCAGAGTCTTTCAGTAACCCTGGAGGTAAATCATCGAGACCCGTTGCTTTGCTGCGTTTAATTGATTTTAGTTTTCGTTCAACTTCGAATTTCGAGACCGGTTGGAATTTGAATTTCAGGTCAGTTCTAACTGACATACTCGCGGGCGTTCTCCAGGCAAAATCGCATAAAGGAAAAGCCTTTTCCTTTAACGTTTTGACAGTTCCTGCAAAAAACTCACCGAACGCATTTGCGATTGTCGAGGGGTTACAGGATTTAACTTCACCGTCGATGTCGAAAGATTGTGAATTGTGCTTCTTAAAATTCTTACAGGGAAAAATAGACTTAAGCACTTTCCAAAATTTGCTAGGATTTTCAGAATTTTCGCTTAGCAAATTTTTATAATAAGACGATTTTGCTCTCCTAATTGCAATGTTCCGCCCGTATTCTAAAAGCTCACTCACACTCACACTCAATGAGTGGAGGTTCAATCTGAGCTTCTCTTGAGTGTCAATGCTGTTTTTGAATAGCTGGAGGGTTAGTCTCGTACCATACTGTGTGATTACTCACCCTCCCGCTATTCAAAAACAGCACTGACACTCAAGAAAAGCTCAGATTGAACCTTCACTCATTGAGTGTGAGTGTGAGTGTGAGTGTGCTTTTAGAATACGGGCGTTAGTCTCGTTACGCTTTTGCTTGTACGCTAAAGAGTCCGCGATACTTCTGGTTCGCCTCGATTTTCTCAGCAGTTGGTCTCGCTCATTCATAATAGATTTTATATCCTCATTTAGCCATGGGGCAGGCTTTCCCCTTACATTCTTCTTAATGATTGGAGCATGACGGTTGTATAAATTAGTTAAAGTAGACTTTAGTAACAACCAAGCGTCATTAACATTTGATTCGTTGTAAAACGGCATCCAATTA